TATTAAAATTTTTAAGTTAGTAAATATCTTATTTTATATTTAAGGTCAAAAACACTTTATCTATATATTTTTCGTGAAAATCCAACTTATTTTTTAGTTTATGACCGCTTTAATATTAATTTTTTCTTTTTAGTTTTATTTTAGGCGAATAAATATAATAGGCCATCTAGAGTATAAAATATATTCCTATTTTTTATACTAGTTTTATCTATTCTACATGTCGTAAATGGTCCTCTCCAATATTTTTTTACTCATATAGTAGGAAAGTAATGGTAATGTTTATTTAAAATTCTTTAAAAATCGTAGTAACCTCTTTTTCTTTATGAGGATTTTAAATTTTGTTTTGGGCAACAAAACATTTTTAATAAATATAAAGTATATACTAAATTAAATATATATAATTAAATGAAAACTGGCACTCGTTATAAAGGTTATTTTTCTTGCTTTCCCTCGATACTCTGTTACTGGATTCATATCTGATTGGCGATTGGTCGGACAATTTTTTCTCGAATCGGATCGGGCCAAAACAAATGGTCTCTATTTTAGTAATAAGTATATTATATTATAATAGGGGCAAGTTTAAAGTTCTTTTATAAAGAAAATAAACAACATTTATGGTATTTATATCGCGATTTAAACCGAATATTAATATTTCAATTAGAGAAGTTCCAGATTTAGATTGAAAAATATATATCACGATTTTCAATTTTTTTATTTGTTCTTTGATATAATTTGCGGTTTTAATTTAATTTAATTTTGTAATATATGAAAATTTTTTCAAAACGAATTTGATAGTAAGTATAAAGATATTGTAAGTAGAGATCTGCAAAGTTAGGCCCGGCCCGTACCGGGCTCGGACCTAATTCTATTTAAAATAATTGGGTTCGGGCCGGGTCTAAGATTTAAAAAAAAATTCGGGCCGGGTCGGGTCGTACCTTGGAAATTTTTTTAAATGTATCTAAATTTATCAATTTTATATTGAATTTTTTATGTAAAATAAAAATATTTGATTTTATTTATTGAAACTAAACGACATATAACATATGTCTTTTATTTTGAGTAATTATAAAGATTAATTTCTATATTTAAATAAATTCGGGCCGGGCTGGGTCGGTAAATTTTTTTTAAAAAAAATTCGGGTTCGGGCCGGCATAACTTTTCTAAAAAAAATTTCGGGCCTGGCCGGGCTTGAAAAATTAGGCCCGATGCAGATCACTAATTGTAAATACTGGATTATGAAGTAATTGACTAATAAAAATTAATGATAAATTTTTTTTTAATTTTTCGGCTCGAAAAATATTTTTTTTTGTCGCGAAATCATTCAGAGGGAAAAGGCTAACATTTTAAATATTTTTTTATCATTGTACTCTGAATTAAATTTCCTATCTAAAAATTAGATGTATTTTTTTACGTTTTGGTTCGAAAAATTTTTATTTTTTTCTCGCCAAAACATTCAGCGGGAAAAGGCTAACATTTTTAACGTAATTTCAAATATTTTTACATTATTTTGTTCTGAATTAAATTTCCTATCTAAAAATGCGTAGATGAATTTTTTTTTACGTTTTCGGTTCGATTACAATTTTTAGTAATTATGTCCATGCCTGCGAAAAACATTAAAAACATGGATTGATTTTGATTACTTTTAAAAAGATTCATTCAACTTAAATGAAATTTCTTCAATCACAAAGATTGGAGTACCCAATTTTTAAAAATAAAATTAAACAGTACTAACTGTTTAGTTTAATTTTTAATATTGCCTAGTTAGGCGAAATCTTATTAAATCAAAAAAGGAAATGTGGAAGAATGGCAAATGTTAAAAAAAACCTTACGTCGTGTTCCAGTTCTACTTATTTTTGATTATTTTGTTTAGTCTAGGTTAAACAGCTTTTGAGCTAGCCCTATCCCGGTTATTTTTTTCTCCTTTTTTTGTTTTTTTAGTTGTTTGCTTTTGTCCCATTGGATAAGTGTATATTAGGGCTGTGCCGATTTACATATTTTTCACCGATCCAATCCCGATATTGCTTCAAAACAGATCTGATATTTATACTGATTTTTCACCACCATCCATTGAACCAAATGTAATGAAGAAAAAAATATTTTTTATGCAAAAAATCGAATTATGCATTTAATTTAATTTTTTTATTTTTACAATTAAGACTATATTAAAAAATTTTTTTTATGTTGGTATGAATTATAAAATAGTAATATTTAATATATTAGAATTATTTAATAAATCGTAGAATCTTTAGATTTTCTGGCAATAAGCTTCTACGATATGGACTATCAATATCCCCTGCCGTACTGAAGGCAGACTCAGATGATTCCGCACAGAGATCTGTAAAGTTAGGCCCGGCCCGTTCCGAACGGGCTTCGAGCCGGGCGCGGAATTTTTTTAAAATATATCTAAATTTCTCAATTTTATATTGAATTTTTTATGTAAAATAAAAATATTTGATTTTATTTATTGAAACTAAACGACATATAACATGTCTTTTATTTTGAATAATTATAAAAATTAATTTCTATATTTAAATAAATTCGGGCCGGGCCGGCAAAACATTTTTAAAAAAATTTCGGGTTCGGGCCAGTCCGTTAAAACATTTTTAAAAAAATTTCGGGCCAGGCTTGAAAAATTAGGCCCGATGCAGATAAATAATTCCGCATATAACGCATTTTGCCAAATTATCTTTGTCTTTTGTGAAATATTTCCATAATTCAGATAACATATTTAAAAAAATTCTTTTATTTAATGTATAAATAATAAAATTGGCGTTATTATTAAAAGATTTAAAATAAATAAAACTTTGGGTGTTCCTTTCTATTTTGATAAAAAAAACTTTTAAATACTATAAATCTATTTAAAAAAAGAAATAAAATTTTTGGGGTTTTGTGCATTTGCATTGTTTAAAAAAAATTATTTAGAAAATATTATTAATGTAAAATAAATATACATAAAATAACAAAAAAGAGTAAAGTAAAAAGATCGGATCGTGTTTTTACAGGTATCGGCCCTATTCGAATTTTCGGAAAACGCTAAATACCGGTGCCGATCCGATATTAATATCGGCACCGCTCTAGCATATATCCGAGCTGTGTTGAAATATTAGCTCTATAGAGCGTTTTCTAGACAATTTTATTAATTATTTCATGCCTTATATATTTTAATCTATAAGACAATAAAGAGAATGTTTAGCTTTTTGATAAACTTATGCCCTCTCTTTGACATTTATAGGGTTGAGATATTTCTATCCCTAACCTGATTGCCACGTCGTACTTTCAGAAGTAATCTTTATGATTTGCTTGGATACGCCTATAGCCATTTAGGGGTAAAGGAATGCATAGCTCCTCCAGATTTTGCGGGAAGGTGTAACCATGTTTTCTGACATATTTTATGAAAATACCCTCCAAAATAGATTAAATTTTAATTTCATAATTTTTGGGAAATTTCTGAAAATAGGAACGTCCTTGATAATCTGTATAGCTAATGAAAGAGCTATAAATACCCATTCCCACTTCACAAAAAATATTTTTTAAAAATATTTAAATAGAATACCGATTTTTTTTTCATATTCCCATCTAGTTGTATAAAAAAAAGTAATATTTAATTATTTCTTTTGTTCTTTTAGGATAATAAAGAGTTCCAATTTTTAGTAGAAAAATTGGTAAAGTTAAATAATGTTAAATTCTATATTTTATTTTGTTCTTTTAACTATCATAGTACTTTTTCTAATTTGAATTTAAGGACAATATCATTTTAAATTAAGGAATATTTATATTCAGGCCAACATTATAATATATTAAAAACTATCCTGTATAATCTATAATAACTATATATTTATAGTTTTAAGATCTTAGCCTAACGAACTAATCTATAACAAAAAAAAATCGTTACTCACCTAGCGGATATTTAGTCATTTCTTTCTTTTTTATATTTGAATGGGTGTACATATCGTCTATACTAACAATATATTAGGTGTAACAAAAGATATATCCAAGAAAAATCAAATGCACTAAAAAAATATATAAATAAGGAGAGGGTGATAAGAGGCGGATATCGCGAAACTTAAAAGGTAAAAAAAACAGCCGAAAGCTTCTCATGCTACTGTTATTAATTCAAAAGTGTCCCATAAATGGTTTCTTAACTTTAGAGTAAGGATTTTTCCTGACCTTTTATCTGTCTAACTAACCAAGTCTTTTTATCTCTAACCACGATTACTTTGGGCTCCGCATTTCTTCAAAGAATTTATAATAGTAGCCTTATTACCAAATCTGAGATCATGATTATGATCAATTATATCGGCTTTCTTTTTTATATGATTATTAATAATTAACTATATTATTTTGCTTTTTTATATTTTAATTTACTTATTTTTTTCTAACTAATGTTTTGACCTCAATTTTTATTTTATGAATATTTAAAAATAATAATACATCATAAGTTTTAATTTATTATTTTTTTAAGTTTAATGTATAGTAATAGAATCATTAATTTCAACATCTTAAAATGCCTAACACCTTTCGGTAAATTATCAAATTAATAGGGTTAAATAGGAAGTGAACTCCAAATGTTAAAATACTGTTTATGTAATCAATGATCTACATGAAAATAATAAATTTAGAAAATCAATAATTTTGAGAAATTCATAAATCATTTATAGGTTTAAGGATCAATTTCTTTATTTTTTTTTATTCAGTACACTTTTCCTTCCCACTCCATTCACTATCACATAAATAATCAATATTATATTATAATTTTTAATAAAACACACATGCGAGCTTATGACAAAAGTTTTCTGATTATTATCGTATTACGATGATTTAACGAAAATTTTGTTCTATTCATATTTTTTAACCCAAATATATCATATTTTCTTAATTAAAACTGTTTCGATAATTTATTAAAAAAAATTTAAAAAATAAATTTTAAGGTTATTTATTTCCAATTTATAAAAATCACAAATATATTTTAGATTAATAATAGAAATTATATAATTTTTCAGTGCTTCGAGATGTCCATGCAAAGAATATTGTTCCAACAAGCTTTTTCAAAAAGTAAAATATATTTTGTGAATTTATTATTTACTACGAAGTTCTATTATAAAATATATTAACAAATTTTTCAATATTTTCAGGGAACTTTATCAGTATATGTATTTGTATTTCAGTCTGAATAATTTTTATTATATAAATAACAAAATATTCGTACTTTTATAACATGAAATTTATGAAATTTTACAATAGAAAACTTATTGCTCCTCCGAGCCTTTTATGACATTCGGAAAAGGATGGGGTCTCAGGACTCTTCAAGATATTGAACCGTAATCATTCTTTATACAAATATTAGTTTTATTTATAGGCGCCTATACTTAATATTAATACATCTTAATTTTTTTAATAATGATACCAATTAGACCTTTTTTACGATTTGATTGTATATTTGTTAAATTTATAACGAATCAACGATTTAAACTTTATTTATATTGGTTAATATTTTTTTAAATAGGCTTTTTGACATTCTGGAACTAATTTATTTTCAGTAATTATTAGTTATTTTATAAATAGTGGGACATTCGTTATAGAATACGTCGGTGAAGTGGTAGACACAAAGGAATTTAATAAACGACAAATACAGTATCACAAAGAGGAAAGGGTTTAGAATATATATTTTTGATTTCATTTATTTTTTTACCACATATCATCTAGGATTATAATTCAAGTAATTGTAGGTGATATTTATAACTCATAGATTTTTTTATTTTTTCAGTGGCAGGTCCAAATTACTATCAATATAAATCAAAAACCTGAAGAGGTCAAAAATTTTGGCTGGCCCATATTTGAAAAGAAATAATCATTTTTAAGCCGAATTGGACTAGGATTATTTTTATTTTTTATTTTTTATCTTGAGAAATATAATTTCATTATCTTGAATAATTTTTGCAGTGATTTTAAATGAAATTGAAGATTAATTTATTATATGATTTTCCAACTGATTAATTTATATAATTTTTTAAATATTATCACTTATATGCTTCGAGCCTCTGAGAGGAATTTATTGGTTTAAAAATGTCTAGAGTTCTAAGAAAATATTTAAAAATTCCTATCCAATGGATTCTATCCGAGAATTTTTCAAATGTTTGATCAGATCCAAAATTTTATTTTAGAAATAAGAACAACAATATAAAATTTTATAGGATTTCAATATTTTTTAAATTTAAAAATATCAATTCTGACATTAAATTGTAATAAAGATTTAAACATTTTTTTCTACATATGTTTAGATGATAATATAACTATTTTTTGATAAAAAATTAAATTCTATCCATATATATAATTGTAATGTGTTTCGGTCTGAAAAAAATTTCCGTTCTAACCTTTAATGATTTAACATTCATTAGCATTTTATATTTTCAATTTACATTTGAAACCACTTGCAAAATGCACCAAAATTATTCCAAACAACCACATTTTAAAAATTTGGGCCTATAGTAATATGATGAAAATAAAAAAATTTTTGGCCAGGCCTAAAAATTTGACCTATGCTTATTGTGAATCCATGTAATTTTGTTTTTTAGATTCATTACTATTTCATGTCATTGAAACAAAGTCAAATTATTGACGCCACAAACAAAGGCTCGTATTCAAGATTCATTAATCACTCTTGCGATCCTAATTGTGAAACTCAAAAGGTAAAATATATTATGATAATATTAGTTGAGTTCAAGGTTTTCATCTAGATATTAAGCCCTTATAATTTTCATAAAACTTTTAAATCATGCTTATGATATTAATTCTGATATTTTATTTTCTTATTAAAACTTCAGTGAGGTAAAGTATATCAGCACCCCGGAATTTTAAAATGAATTGGTAAGAAAAACTTCCACCCAATATGATTTAAAACCAGATCTGATATTTTTTTTAAAAAATAATAAAATATTCTCATCAGAAACCCAAAGTCTGGGGTTTTTCGATTCGGAAAATATTTTTAGATCTTGGCGTGCCTCGTCTCGAATTTTTAAAAGCACTTATTATATGAAAAAAATCTCAATATTTATTTTATTCTCTATTTTAATGTTATGCATTAAATTTATTTAAATATATAGCAATAACATTGATAATTTAAAGATGATTATTTATTTTATTCTATTTATTATAAAATATGATATGAACATGAATCCCACTTCCAGATTTTTTAAAATTCATTTATAATTGTATGCAATCATACAAAAAGGAAGTATATGAAGATAGTATAATAAAGTCACTGCCAAAAAACGAGATTTTATCTCTAAAATAACGAAACTTGGCATGATAGTTATCTCTGCTAGAGATCTGCAAAGTAAAAAAATTGGGTTCGGACTAGGTCGGGCCTAATATATTTTAAGAAAATTCGGGCCCGGTCGGGTGTGTCGGGCCTTAGAATTTTTTTTAAAAATATATCTAAATTTATCAATTTTATGTTGATTTTTTATGTAAAATAAAAATATTTTATTTTATTTATAGAAACTAGACCCCATATAACAAATATCGTTTATTTTGAGTAATTATAAAATTAATTTCTATATTTAGATAAATTCGGGCCAGGCCGGTTAATTTTTTCAAAGGGCCGGCAAAACTTTAAAAAAAATTCGAGTTCGGGCTGGGCCGGATAAAACTTTTTTATAAAAATTTCTGGCTGACCGGGTTTGATAAATTTGGCCCGATGCAGATCACTAATCTATGGCTATATATTTTAGAAACGAAATTTAGATTGCTAGCTTAGGATTGATTTCATTAAATCTTGTTTTTTTTTAAATACTTAAGATAGAGTTACAAATTATAGATCATTTTATAGCCCTTAAAATTATACATTGGAAAATATCAAAAAAATTAAAAATGTTTCCGGAAATTAATATTATCGAGAATGGATTTTTTGGGGTGTTGACATTTAGAAATGTTTATTACCTTTATATTTAACTGTTTAATCAAAAAAATCGATAGCCTTTTTTCTTTTTAAATTTTATTTATATATTTTTATAAATTAAAATATATTATATAGATAGCGTTATATTAAAAATCATTATTATATAATATATTTAATTAAAATGTCTATTGTATTAGTATAAAATAAAAAAAAAACCATTAAGTCTAACAAATATGATGCCCTTGGGCTATATGTAAGCAAGTAGCCCATACGATTATTAGGATACTATATTTTAAAATAAACATTTTATAATTTTATATGCAAAATATTATAAAAAAATACCTCTTAACTTTATCATATTCCATTTTGCGTTTATTAATAGAATTTCTTGAGGCCATAATTTGTAAATATATCCTGTCGCTGTAACCAGTATAAATGTAATAAACATTCCTAATAATTATTACCCCCCCCCCCCCAACCCTCCAATAAAATCCCTTCTCAACAATGTAGATTTTTTTTATTTTTACCGGAAATAAGAAAACAATGGGAATTTTTGAATTTTAAGGGCTATAAAATGATATATAATTTGTAATCGTAGCTTAAGGAATGAAATCATGCATAGCTCGATCACTTTGGATCTGGTTTAGCTGGCGCTATAAAATTTTGATTTTATTTCATAACATAATTAACTAACCTACCAAATTTCATTTATTTTTGAGATCGTCGTCTGAAACACTGGATGATTTGTAATGGAATGACCCCGGATCACTTTTTTATTGATAATGTTACCGGTTAGCCCTGCATGACTTTAAATCGCCTAATAAAATTTCAAAAAAATATTGGCCTCTTCCATTTCCTATGACTTCTTCACCCTCTTCCATTTCCTATGACTTCTTCACCCTCTAATTTACGATATTGCATAATCCCCCCCCCAACCATTGTAGTAATCTTTGCTGGTTCCTTAAAATAAAAATTACAGGTTACGAGGGTTTATTTTTAAAGAATCTTTTGATTTGTAAATATGGTTTTTGCTAAATAAAAATGGAGTAAGTTAAAGATTCAGGAATCTTTCACATAATACCCATGTTTGAAATGTTAGAAAGTCATAATGCCCCTAAAGACATAGTGTAATGATCAGTAAAAATTACAATGTTATCAGTAGATCTTTATAATAGTTTTTATAAGATACCAATATTGAAATATTATGTTAGATTTTTTTAACTTTTCCACTCCATCCCACGAATAATAGTTATAATTATCCATAAATCAATTGATCTTTTTCGAAATATTATGCTATTCTAAATATTATGCAGGAACTTTTTAATCCTACCGCACTTGCCCTGAAGATGTAGAGTGATTAGCATCAATTTAAGATCTCCTATTATGTCTATACTAAGTTATTTTAACCTCCCCTCAATCCCACCATACCCACTCTGAAGAGATTAGTATCAATATAATCTATTGATCTTTAATTAGCTTTTATTTGATACCCATGTTAAGATATTATACTCAAAAATTTTCAACTCCCTCCCAATTACCTGCTTCTAAAACTGATGAAAATGATAATCAAATACTCCTTTTACACATAATGTTATTAGCACCCCCCCCCCATCCCCACAGTCGGACCTGGAGAGATGAGTATTAATGTAATCAATTTAACTTTTTATTATATTTCATTTAGTACCTATGTTTTACTATGCACTTTTTATCTACCCACCTCCAACACCCACCTGGACACATAGAGCAATGAGCATTAATTGATCTTTGGATTAACTTTCATTTGATACCCATATTGGCATATATATATATAAAATTAGTCTTCCCCCATCCACAAGTACCCGGGTGACATTGTTTATTGAGTATCAATGTAATCTATTTATCTCTTTAATTTGATACTAGTGTTATAAACATTTCTAAAAAAATCGAACGCGTTTAACGTTCTTTGACCAAAATCTATAATATTCATTTAATATTTATATTGGCCATGTTTAAAATTAATAGTTTTAAGTGAGTAAAAAAATATTCTTATAGTTAAAAAAAAATTCTTACTAATAATAACTATATATATGCTTTTATATATAGTATAAAATTTAATTATTTATAAAATATATAAATTTATAATACTTTAAATTGAGTTCAAATATTAAAATATATAGCCCTTGATAAAAACTTTAAAATAATAGCGAAATTTCAAATAATCAATTAAAAATAAATAAAGATATTAACTATTTTAGATCTATGCATATAGTATATCAGACAGTGGCCCCTACACTTTTTGAGCGAATGAAGCAGAATACCCCCATGAAAAGTACCCCCTTGAAAAGTATCCCCCCCTTCGAAAAAATGATAATTATGACACCCATAAATTTCAAAAATAATTTTTATTGCATCAATTTTTAATATATAATATAAATAAAATGCAAAAAATATAACTTTATAAATATTATTTTTAAATTAATTTTTTTTTTTTTCTCTTTAGCTTTCACCTTTTCTGGTGGTAAGCTCCTTCAACATCTCTCTCCACTTTATGTTATTCGTACAATCTCTTTTATCTATTTTATACTTCTTTATATTGGCTCTAACTTTATGGCCCCATTGAAGTTTTGGCCTTCCTCTTTTACGTTTGCCCATCACTTCCAATCTTTCAACTTTATTTCCTATGTAGTTCATAGGCCTTCTCATTGTATGCCCATACCACCTAAGTCTGTTTACCATTAACTTAGTCTTAATGGGCACTACCTTTAAACTATTTAGTATTCTTGTACTGCGCACCTTATCCTTTCTTGTTACCCCAGCAATCATCCTCAGCATTCTCATCTCCATAGTTTGTAGACTTCTCTCGTCTGATTCTTTGGTTGGCCATGTTTCCGAACTATATAGAATAGTTGGTTGTACTATGGAACTGTAAATTTTTCCCTTTAATTTGAATGGGATTCTTTTGTCAAATAGCACTCCAGATAAAGATCTCCACTTTAACCACCCTTGATTAATCTTATTCTTTATCTCTTTTTCTATTGTGCCGTTTGTTTGTATAGTGGAGCCCAAATATTTGCAGCTTTCAATTGCGGATATCTGCCAATCATTTATATCAATACTCTCCGTTTCATCTCCTCCTATCACCATATACTCCGTCTTTTCTCTATTTACTTTTAATCCGTGCGTTTCTAGGATATTTATCCAATTCACTAACCTTTCTTTCATTTCATCCTTGGATTCGGCAAGTATCACAATATCATCTGCAAATATCATATTCCACGGGACTGTTTGAGGTATAGACTGTGCTAATACATCTATTACTGTAATGAAGAGAAGTGGGCTGAGAGCCGACCCTTGATGAACTCCTTCGGCTATTGTGAAGCCTGCTGAAGTACCTGTTGTGCTACGAACCATTGTTGTATGTCCCATATACATATCCTCTATTATTCTTATATATTTTTCGGGAACTTTTTTGTGGCGTAGCGCCCACCAGATAAGTTTTCTTGGGATTCTATCGAAGGCCTTTTCTAGATCGAGAAAGACCATGTGTAGCTTTTTGTTCTTTTCCCTGTATTTTTCACTCATTTGCCTAATTGCATGGATAGCATCGGTTGTTGATCTTCCAGGCATAAAGCCAAACTGTGTCTCTCCTATTTCTATTATATCTCTTAATCTTTTTTCTATTATTTTTTCGTATAGTTTTAGACAGTGTGACATTAGTTTTATGCCCCTGTAATTTTGACAATTGTGTGGATCCCCTTTATTTTTGAAGATAGGAACTAGATAGCTCTGCCTCCATTTTTGGGGGACCTC